AGTGTCAATTTTTTTTAACTATCTGAACAGATGATTTCAAACATACTCGGTTTGAATTTAAAATCCAAAACTAAATTCATCTACCCAAATGTCACCTTTTCGAGATAAAAGGGACACACAGTTATAGATAGAGAAAGCTAAAATGCCAATGAGAGGGTAGAGTTGTTGGATAACCCGCCTGCATGCTTGCAAGTAACATAATACTGGGCCCAACTATTCGCCTGACATCTCCCATGCAAGCCTCATGAGTATACCACTTCAAATTTTATTCTAACCAAAAAAAAAAAATCACGTTTCACTTTAACTTGTATTATTACTTCTATGTGGATGCATAATTTCGTGCATTACTTTCCCGCCTTTCTTTTCACTTACGTGTCCCTGTCCATATTATACGATTTCAGGTCAATTTCAGCAGCATAATTTAATTATACTACCATCAGTTCTTGATATAAGAGCTAGTTCACTGATTTAAATATATTAAAGAAGTTTGTTAAGTTAGTTACTCATAATAAATAGGTATTATCTTTTCTAAAATACCCTTGGTAATCATGTGTATTAACTGCTAAAACTACTATTTGATAAAATATTTAATATGTGTAACTGTTACAAGGGTTACTTTGGGAGGAAAAAAAGATAAATATGAGAGACAAAGTAGATTGTAGTCTTGTATTTAAAATCAAATTGAAATCCAAACTAGTTTATATATCAAGTACCGAAGGTAATACTTTTATTAAATCACATCAACCATCTAAAATTAAAACATTGGTCACAAGTAAATCCAACCAATGCCAACACCCCAAAACCAAATATATATAGTTTTTTCATGGTGCTGCCAAAACCAAATATTTGTGTCGTCAAGACATCAACCAAGGTGCCTACTGCCAACACCAACATTGTTGCGTGTCTGACCCAGACTGGCCTTGTTGGGCTTGGCTCGTTGGGCTGCTGAGTCATGGTAACAACCCCATGACAATGGACCGTGAAACCGATTACTAACCCGTGGGCCTATAAAGCAAAGCCTAGCCCACATCCTTCACCGAGTCATTTTCTCCTTCACTACGTATCTGACACGTCAACAACGATAAACGGGCTGATTCCTAGGATACCATACTTGGAAACCAGCGGTTAAAACAAGGCCATGAATAACGAAGAAGGATTTAGTTATCTTTAATCTTTTTATCCTTCGTTACGTCTTATGTGTGCCTTGTCCTCTCAAAGACGCTTCATTCGGCAGTACCAAAAACTGTGATTAAGGATGGAAGAAACAAATGTGCAGCCATTATTTAGGTATTGTAACATCATCATTACTAAAAAAAAAAAAGAAAAAAAAAAGGGGGATTGGAGTCCTAACAAGAGAAGGCATGGAGGGATGGTTGGGAATTAGGTGGACGGAGGCTGTCATCGTCAATTACATAAATCAGGACCCTCGGGACTAGTGTTTCGAGAAGAAATTAATATTTAAAAAAAAAAAGCAGGTCATTGTTATGATATGAGAATTATAGTGTGGGTGAATTGAATTTAATGAGGAGTGGTTGAGACTGCAGGTTCAACCCGATACCTAAACTGCATCTCAAGCAAGCATCAGCGTCATGGCACCACATGGACCCCCCCCGCTCCCTCCTTTCTGCGCCATCCCAAAGCTGGTTTCACTTCACGCTGACCCCAGCCCCCTTTTTTCAGATCTACTACATCCACTGCTTCCCCTCTATCCATCATGAAGCTCAACAAAATACATATCTGACTCCATGTCTGGTGCAAAAGAAATGGAGATAAGGGGAGGAGAGAGAAAATTAATAGCCCTAATTTGTTGCTCTTTTTTAATTAGCTTTCTAATTAGACGTCGACACCTGCATCATCTCTCGAGCTTCATGTGCCAGGCCGCACACTTTTCATGATTGGATCTTATGGATCTGCTCCGCGCATATAGATATAGACGCATTGATAACTGTAAGTAATTTGATGTAGTACAAAGTAGCACCGCTAATATTGTTAATTTTAATTTATATAGCATCAACAAGTCATTATTAAAAACTAGCCAAATTAATTTTTTACCTACAAACGTAAAAAAATTTTGCAATTAGCATTCCAATGGTTTTAAGTATTGAGAACAAATGCAAACATGTATTTTCAGATTAACATGACTGTTTTTAATGTTTTCCGTGTGGTAATGTCTTGATTGAAAATTTGTGCCTTCATTCTGGTAAAAAAGAAAAGAAAATTTGTGCCTTCATGAGCACCGTGCACCTAGCTAGTTTTCCCTCTTGTATAGATTACTTCAGCAGTAATCTTCCGGTCCTTAATACAAGACCTATTTAATTAATTTGATTATATTAAAAAAGTTAGGTAAGTCAATTAATTATAAGAAAGGTGACATGTTTTTTCTAAAACACCATAATCATCTTTCTTAATACCCTCTCTCCTTCTTCAACTTAATTATGATTGAGGGAGTATCTATAAGAGTAATTTAGAAAAAATTTGATAAATATGAAAAATAGATCTTATATTTAGAACCAAAACTAACTCAACAATTGAGTCCTACATTGAGGAGGACTGGAGGAGTATTTGATTTTTTTTTTGGGGGGTTTTTTAAAGATGAATCTGCCATTAGAGAGCGGAGTTTGCAGTTGAAAAAATAAACATCGTTAAGAATTATATATTAATTAGAAATATTCACGAACTAAACAAACATTGAAATGCGAATAAGTTATGCTATTTATAATCTATATATTATTTTTTAAATAATCTAAAAATTATTTAATAAGATGTAAATATTTAGTGAGACATCAGAAATACTCTTTTTTCTGTCGGCAGTGAATATAGAGGACAAAGAGTATTTTGTATGCCTTGTTAATGGGGGTGAGTGTGTTAATAGCGATGATGATGATAGGGAGCTTGTAAGTTTATGTTTATTATTATTATTTTTATATATATGAAAAGTACATAAAAGTTTTCTCCGCTAGAGATTGGCTGGCGGTGCTGCAGGTCACATGTTAGTGCACCTTATCTCATGTGCTCTGTTCCGCCTTCTTGTTACTCGCCCTGTCTTCTTCTCCCCTCATTCCAGAAACCGTTAACCCCACGCGCCTCCTCCCCGCGTCCCCTTTTGGCGCCAACGCCGTCGACCGTTGATCTCACGCGCCGTTCCTCCGTGTTCCCTCGGTTCAACTCGGAAATTACAAATTCCTAAATATCTCGCTCTTGTTATGTACCATTTCGCCCTCAATCATGTTGCCCCCATCACTCTCCTTTTACTTTTATATCCCCAGCGTTAGCGTAGCGTCTCTCTCGTCTTACGTACGACTTTAAATACCGCAATTATAAGCATGTTGTTAGATGTACTACGTATATTTGTATTCAATCCAATAACGGGCTTACACAAATAAGAAATAAATTTTTTAAAGCAACTTAATAAAATATAGAAAATGATGAATCAAGTGCGGGTTAATTAAGTTTACCCGGGAGATTCCCATGACACAAGCTGGCCGGCCGGCTGGCTTGCTGGAAACGAAGCAACCAGATGGTCAAGACACATGGCATGTGGTTGCCGAAACTAGATGAAAGCGAAAACAAGGAATCAATTAAGGATCTAACTCGATAATAATTATCATGATTGTGATTTAAATAGGAGCACTGAGTATATGTTTGAGTTGGGCGGATAGATATATATAATCCGTTCCTATCTTGGAGTCAAGCAGCATGATATTCGTTCTCAAAACCCCACACACAATAACACCACATTCAAATGATGAACTGGCAACCAAGGAGGTGCCCAAATTTAAATGAAACTGTGTCATCGCTACGTAATGCCCGATGTGACACAAGACCTATATATTAATCACTACATAAATTTGGCTTCACGCTTCCTGCGGGTTTTTTCGGGGCGAAAATATTGTTTTAGAAAAGTCAACATTCAGGGGTTCGTTGGCCCCCGAAATTTAAATATAAATATTTATACTCTTCTGTAAAATAATTTTCAAGCGAACAGTAGAATGGGGTGTGTGCGTGTATAGAAGAAGAAAAATATGTGTAGTGTATATTATATTAATTGTAATTTTCAGCGTTTGTTTAGGAATTTAACAGGAGCAGTAGCTGACAATTTCCATACTGAAGATGAGTTAGGTAGCCACCTTGAAACGAAAAAATAAAGAGAGAGGCAATTTTAAGGTGATACTTCTCGCTCTCTATAAAAGCCATGCTGGCGACTCCTCTCCTCACTCCCCTCTAATTTTATACCACCGTCACTCATTTTCATCTCCTTACTCAAATACTAATCATGACTCTATCGCTCCTTATTTCTCTCATAACCCTGCCGCTGCCGCCGTAAACACACACACAAAACACTCCTTTTTATTATTCTCAAAAATACATATATTGTCCTTAACAGAGGTATTTAATAATTGCACAATCAATTGCTCTCATTAATTATCTTTATCATCTCTGAAGAAAATTACCCCAACAGATGCATTTCCGTGTCACCACGCCATCGATTTTTCTTCCCCAAAAAAAAAAAAAAAAACGTCGCCGAAAGACTGCGAGTTATCGAGCACCGGTCTAGCGTTGAAGGATGCGAAAACTTCTGCCCATCATGTGGAGTTCAAATCTTTTGTCTCACACTTACATCTTGCAATAAGATTTATTTTCTTCCTTTAAGAGAGAGAGAGCAGAGAAGCGGGCGAATTTACTACCCGTGACCGTGACCCCCGTCATGAGGTGTCCAAACATTCTTCGTCCTGAAAATTCTTAGGCACTGGCACTGACTTGAAAGTCAAAGGACCATCCAGTCTTTTAGTATGAGGGCATATTCGTCCTCACGATCAAATTTAAATCTGATCATCGCAAACGATCTCCATCTCCACCGTTCGTACGTTCCATCGGACGGTGTCCAATCGCTGGCTTAAAAAGGGTGGCAAACTAAAGCGACAGGGACTGTAGAACCGGTCACGCTGACACGCTCCCTCCGTCCCCCTCACTCTGCAGTATATAAATCTTGCTAGGGTGCTAGCACCGCAAGAGTATCTCTCACTTCCTCCCTTCCTGCCACTCTCCAGTGCTCGCCATTCGATCGATCCGTTCTTCACAATTCCAGGTATTTATATCTCCAGAACTGATCTTTTCCATTGCATTTATCTCATTGTCTTCAAATCTGTGCCGGTTTTATTTCCTAGGAATTCTGCCTTATACGTTGCATTCGTTCTTCCACGCGAGTAATTGCTTCATTTCAGTATTTTTAACTTTTGTAGTGGTGATTCGCTTGGAATCACGTTATTCTCTCCATGGATGCTCTGTTTTTCTGATTCATGCTCTATAATTCCATGTGTGATTCGGATAGAGAATCAGATCTTTTCCCGATTTTCTGTCTCCGTAGAATTTGCTATGTTGCTTGCCTTGTTTATTATGTAAGTTCGTGCAGACTGGGATATCTCCTTCTCTATCCTCATTGTAAATTCCTCGTCGACTATAACGCTGACATCGAAGCTCTGTAGTGACTCCGACTGTTTCAGTGAATTTTGCCTGTTTTACTTTGTGTCGATCTTCTTCTTTTCTGTGCGGACACCCTGTTTAGATCATTTGAGAGCTATCAAATCATTTGTTGATCGGATTTTGCTCTCGTCGAAGTGTGCTGCTGATGGCTGTTGTATATTTTATAATTCTGCCATTGTTGATGACGTTGATTTTTAAGTCTTTCATTTGATTGATTACAGGGAAAATGAGAGAGATCCTTCACGTTCAGGGTGGACAGTGCGGTAACCAGATTGGTTCCAAATTCTGGGAGGTTATTTGTGAGGAGCATGGCATAGATCCAACTGGAAGGTACGTTGGACATTCAGATCTGCAGCTGGAGCGCGTCAATGTCTACTACAACGAAGCTTCTTGTGGAAGGTTTGTTCCGCGTGCAGTGCTCATGGATCTGGAGCCTGGTACTATGGACAGTGTACGCACTGGTCCTTATGGCCAGATCTTTCGCCCTGATAACTTCGTTTTTGGCCAATCTGGTGCTGGAAACAACTGGGCAAAGGGGCATTACACAGAGGGTGCAGAGCTCATAGATGCAGTTCTTGATGTTGTAAGGAAGGAGGCTGAAAACTGTGATTGCCTTCAAGGTATCATATGCATAAAATTTCTTGATGTCCGTGCTGGTTGGTTACTTCAGCTTGGTATAAATGACAATTGCAGCTTCTAGAATAGTGATTTCTAATACTTCGAAATGCTAAATTTCTAGTTAAGTCAATTGAAAATAAAAGTGTGCGTCAAACTAGCTGGAGTCAGTGTCTTACTTTCCTTTTCATTAGTCATCATCATGATTCATAAAGAGCTTTCGGATGTTGCCAATGCACTTTATCAATGAATGGATTGTTCAAGCTTCTTGAGATGGACAAGCCTATGGAGTAATTATTTGTTTTTTTTCCCCATTCACGGATAGTTTCCAAGGGGTGGAATTCTTACTTTAGACAGAAAAATAAGAGTTTTTAAGCAATTATTTTAAATTTAAATTATTTACTGTTTAGAAAGTCCTTGAAGCTTTGTAAATTTTAGAGGATTATTTAACGTGATTTATCCCCTGTTGCAGGATTTCAAGTGTGCCACTCGCTGGGTGGTGGGACTGGCTCTGGGATGGGTACCCTGCTGATTTCTAAGATCCGGGAGGAGTACCCTGATAGAATGATGCTCACCTTCTCCGTGTTTCCTTCACCCAAGGTGTCAGATACAGTTGTTGAGCCTTACAATGCCACTCTTTCAGTTCATCAGCTGGTTGAAAATGCAGATGAGTGCATGGTGCTGGATAATGAAGCTTTATATGATATTTGCTTCAGGACTCTTAAACTGACAACTCCCAGCTGTGAGTATGCCATATCGATGCGGCATTATTTCAATATTTGCAGTCTGTTTTGTGCTTGATTTATTTATCTCCGCAAATTATATTTTGAGGGATCCTTAATTCCTTATATTGATTGGAACGGTAGTAAGCTGCTAATTTGGCAGATTGCGAGTCGCTCTGTGTCAATTAATATTTGCGAACGGTTATATTTGTAATTTTATGTCCAACATGCCTTGTGGTCTTTCTGATTTAGATGCCAGGCAGTCTTGGACATTGTCCAGTGCGATTTCTCTAATTTGTGATGTACTCTGGTCATGAAACAGGATGAATGCATTAGTTCTCTAGGGGGGTCTTATGCAGTTATGGTCATAAATAAATGAAAAATTATGATCCGGATTGTGACCAAATTTAAATTTCTGGATTATAATTCAGAACCAATCAATCTAGCTGTTATGGCTTCAATATTGACTAATTTATGTGCTTTTATGCTTTTTTTTTCCTTCTGATGATTGCGGGGCCTTACTACTTTAGCTCTGAATATCATAGTTCTATAGTTTGGCCATTTGTTTATAGTCCTTTTCTTTTTCGGCCTGTAATGGCTCAAAATGTGTAATGGTTCTTTTGCAGTTGGTGATTTGAACCATCTGATCTCAGCAACCATGAGTGGGGTCACTTGCTGTCTTCGATTCCCTGGTCAACTCAACTCTGACCTCCGGAAACTGGCAGTGAATCTCATCCCCTTCCCTCGTCTTCATTTCTTCATGGTTGGCTTTGCTCCCCTGACCTCCCGTGGGTCCCAGCAGTACCGTGCATTAACAGTGCCAGAGCTGACTCAACAAATGTGGGATGCTAAGAACATGATGTGTGCTGCTGATCCCAGGCACGGACGCTACCTTACAGCATCAGCTATGTTCAGGGGAAAGATGAGCACCAAAGAAGTGGATGAACAAATGATCAATGTTCAAAACAAGAATTCTTCCTACTTTGTCGAGTGGATCCCGAATAATGTGAAGTCAAGTGTCTGTGACATCCCACCTAGGGGGCTATCTATGGCATCCACCTTTATTGGGAACTCAACTTCCATTCAGGAAATGTTCAGGAGGGTGAGTGAACAATTCACCGCCATGTTTAGGAGGAAGGCTTTCTTGCACTGGTACACTGGGGAAGGTATGGACGAAATGGAATTCACAGAAGCGGAGAGCAACATGAATGACCTTGTGTCAGAATATCAGCAGTATCAGGATGCCACTGCAGAGGACGAAGGGGAGTATGAAGATGAGGAGGAGGAAATGGGCGAGCCTATGTGAAGGGGAGCTAAATAAAGTGCCAGGCTGATATCTTCTACTTATTGCACTACGCAATATGATGCCCTTAGTATGTCTATTCTACTTCTACCTGAAGAATGTAATTAGCTTTGGTTTGAGGGAAGCTGGGGAGTGAAACATGATTTGGAGAAATGAAGTGGCCAACTCTTTCTCCGAGTCACAAGATATTCGGGCAATAGAAAGGTTCTAATTTTAGTGCGGGCTTGGGTAGAATGTCTTGAGAGTAGTGATGCATTGCCTATATGTTTGTTCCACATTGGCTTTATTTGTTATTTCTCTGGAACCATGGATCGTGTTTTGCATGATATTTTGCCATTCTTGTGCACGGGCTTTTTAAATTCTGGATATTTCAACATGCCATTGTGGGGTGTCATTTTTATTAATTTGACAGAATCGTTTGATTCCCGCACGAGACTCTTTACCAGGATCTGGCTCATATCCTCTCGGTCCCAACAAAAAAAAGGGAAGAAAGATGTGTTATAACCTCGTTATCAACATCGGTTGAATCAAAGGGCGCGACGGGCCCATGCGCGCGCCCACAACACATCGTAGCAATAGTCGGAAAATTGCCCCTCAAATCATTGGCCCAAACCATGTAGGGCCAACGGCCGATAAAGTTCATGGACCCTGTAAGCAAAATAGAAGGTTCGGGTCCACACAAATAAAAGGAGTTTTAGTTTTTAATTTTAAGCTTCGAGCCATCAATCTCAATATACATAAAATTCATAACAAGTTGCATGGTTCATAGTGTCAGTCATTATTTAGTTCCATGCAATGAATGAAAAATCAAGGAAAAGTTACACGCAGATCTCATAAAAGACAATTAATTCTAAAAAAGTCTAAAAATCTCAAATGCTTCCCAAGTCTCCAGGAACCTTAGAGTAAAATATTAAAATTGTGAAATTATCTACTTGTTCTCACCGAATGACAACATGCACAGAAGTCAATCACAACCTACACTCAACCGAACGACAACATACACAGAATATAGTCACAACTTACACAGCAGTTAATCACGACCTTTTCCAACAATGAGAACAAGTAAGTAATTTCACAATTTTAATTTTTTGCTCTGAAGTCCTTGGGAACTTGGGATTTCGAGGGACTTTTTTAAAATTAATTGTCTTCTGTGAGACCTGTGTGTAATTTTTCTAAAAATTAATTGTTAATTGATAATTATAGGTTCGATATCATTTGCGACAACATAATCCAACAAAAATAGAAGTGAATATAAGAATATATGAGCATTCGTGTAAGAAGGATGAAACAAGGATAACCACCAGGGTTGGTTGGCCTAAGATATGGGATGCGGTGAATTAGAATAAGTGGCCGACACAAACACAGGGCGCATAACGTGCCACAATCTTCACACACAAACCCAAGTGCTTATTCCTTTTTATTTGTGTGATTCTCTAAAATACGGCCTTGTCAGTTTCTGCAGCGCATAAGCATTCAGCAATCAGCGCCAACTGGTGATTCTGTAATTGAAATTAATTAACCAAATCGGGGGATTTGCTTCCCAGCTGCAGGCCATGGCTGTGAAAGTGTCGGCAAACTTCGATTGGGCCACTCAACGCTCCCACTCAAACTTCAGCTCCACTCCTCCTCCTCTTCCACTGTGTTGTTTTGCTAGTTACCTCCCCCCCCCTCCCAAAAAAAAAAACCACCTACCGAACGATCAAAAGATAACTTCCATTATTTATTGTTAATTTATTTGAATTTCTTATTATTGTTAATCAATTTATTACTTTACTCATCAACATGTCATGTTAAAACAATCATGTTTACGATAGAGGCTGATTCGTTATATAACCACTACTCCCAAATCCCAAGTCATATGGAATAATTTATAGGTAGTTTTTTTTAATAATTGCTCATTTTTTAACAAATTCTCTTTCAACACTAAAATTTACACGGATTTTGTGAGTTTTCAACATTCAATTTGCCCGAACTTATCGAAGTAAAACAACATCAGTAAAATAATAAACTAAGGTAACAGATTATTTCAATAAGTTTTGAAAATTTTAAAATTTATTATAAATTCTAGGGGTTAATACAAATTTTGGTCCCTCAAATTTAAGCCCAATTTGGTTTTAGTCCCTGAAATTTAAAACGTGTGGTATTGGTCCCTCAAATTATGTCCGTTTATGTCCGTTGGTCCCTGGCTTCTTGGCACCGTTAAATCCTACTGATATGGAATTAACACCGTTATGTGCTGAGTTGGACCACATGACCTGGTAATGAACCACTGAGCTGGCATCCTGGTGTCATGTTAGCTAGAGATGGACCGAAAAAAGAAAAAAAAAAGGGGGGGAATCAGAGGCAAAACGCAGGGGCCGACAAACATAACGACAAACACGGTTTGTGGAGGGAAAAAAAAAGGGGAAAGTGCTAGGTCAAGAGGACCCACTCGTCGCCGGCGATTACTGACGTGGGCGTCACCGAAAAAGTGCTTTTACCGGCGGCCGTCGTGGTAAGAAGGTTTATAACTGATATTCATTTGCTTTTGTCCGTTGAAAGGCGAGGAAGACATTGTTGATTACCATTGTGTTCGCATCGCTGTTGTCAAAGGGTAAGTGCTACAAATATGAACCTTTAAATATATTGATTGAAAATCCCGTCCTGTTCATCTTGCAATCTGTTCGAAAATAGTGTTGACATTGAAGTTGCATTGTGCATTTGAGTTCAACTAACTCAAAGTCCCATCTTGTTCATCATGCAATCTGTGGTCAGTGTCTATGGGTGCTCTGTTTTGATTTGTGTTAGTTGAACCCATTGGTGCTCTATTTTGATGAGTGTCTGTGGGCAGTGTTAAACAAAACCAGAGCACAATCGTGTATAATTTGTTTATGTTGCTGTTCATTTCGATGATATGGTCTGTGGGTACAATGTTGTTGCCGAACAATGGGTGTGGTTCATGCATTGCTTACATTGTGCTCTGTTTATTGTTAAATTAATTTTGATATCATGTTGACTGATGTTATGTAATGTTTTGTTTCATCTTGTCGTGGTTTAGTTTACTATTTTGCCATGACAGGTTAAATATGGATAGGGAGGAAGGGAAAAGTGATAGATGTGATACTGGTGGGGAGGAATGGAGCGAAACAAACTCAGGGTCTGTGTTCTCAGACTTTGAGAACAGTGAAGAGGAGGAAATTGATGATGATTATTTTTCAGAATATGTAGATGTGGGAGTAAATGATGTGTTAGAAGAAGTTGTAGAGAGTTCAGAATTTTGGAGAGCCGAACCTGATGGTAGAGGACAAAATAATGTTGTTGAGGCAAGGGAGGAAGATATATTGGGCTTGTTATCTGATCATGAGTCAGAGGGAATTGATGAAAGTGCAAGATCAAGTGAAGAAGACGATGAAGGAGAAGGCAACGTTAATAGAGTAAGATATAATCCGGTAGAGATGTGTAAAGAGTTTAAATTTGTGTTAGGTATGGAGTTTACTTCCATTGGTCAGTTTAAAGATGCAATTAGAGAGTATGCCTTACTCCATGGATATGAAATCAAATTTGTGAAGAATGATAAGGTGAGGTGTAGGGTCAAATGTGCACATGTTGAATGCAAGTGGTTAATGTTTGTGAGCCAAATGAGAGGTGAGTTAACATATCGGTTGAAGACATTACACTCAAAGCATACATGTGGGGTATCCTTAAAAGGGAAGAATGCTAGCTACAAGTGGATTGCAGAAAAGATAGTTCACATTATGAAGAGAAACAAAAACATCAAGTTGGCGGATATAATTGCGTCAGTGAGAGAACACTACATGGTTGATGTTTCTGTGTGGAAGGCCTACATGGCTAGAAAAAAGGCTAAGGCTTTGATTGATGGTGACTATAAGGAGCAATATCATAAATTAAGAGATTATTGTAATGAAGTGAGGAAATGTAACTTAGGAACAACATTTGCATTACTTACTGATCAGCCTTGCGTAAATCATCCTCCTGTTTTCAAGAGATTATATGAGTGCATAGGTGCTGTGAAGCGAGGTTTTGTAGCGGGTTGTAGACCGATCATTGGGTTAGATGGGTGTTTCTTAAAGGGTCCATATGGAGGGATATTACTTGTGGCTGTGGGACGTGATGCTAATGACCAGTACTTTCCATTAGCATGGGCCGTGGTTGAGTCACAAAGTAGAGACTCATGGACATGGTTTTTGAAAAATCTGTTCGATGACATTGGGAGTATGCAGGAAAGGAGATGGATATTTATATCAGACCAACAAAAAGTAAGTTTTTTTTTGTATTATTTGTATCTTAAATGTATCAAATATTTCTTTACATGAAACTTCGATTGTGATATTTAAATTTTTTGTATCATACAGTTTCTTTACCTTTTGTTTGTATCATATAGATTCTGGATTATTTGTATTTTAAATTATTGTGATAGTTAAATTAAGGTTTTTTGTTCAGCTTTTGATTTTTATATGGTGAACCGAAAAGTTACAGAATAAACAAAAGCATATTACTTTTTCCACCGAGCATGCTTGGGTCACGGAAGCATAGTATATAAAAAGGGGTTCACATCTAGCTTTTGATATTTTGACCGAGCATGCTTTCAGTCGTTCATCACCCTTTTTTTTATTTTTCTTTCCCAACGCGTGGCAAGAGGGGTTCACATTCAGATTCAAATATATTAGGTCATCAAGGTTAGTATCTAGCTGTCACTCACACGTGGTAAAAAGGGTTCACATTCAGATTCAAATTTTTTTGGATCCGGACTGGTTTAGTATGAAGCTGTCATTTACATAGAAGGTGTGGAATATACTTACGGTTTGTGTTGTGCAGATTCATAGTTGTGGCTTGTGTTGCGCAGGGTCTTGTGCCAACATTTGAAGAATTATTAGAAGGTGCGGAACACAGATTCTGTGTGCGCCATTTGTATTCTAATATCAAGGTCAAATATGGAGGAGGCACTCTTATTCGTGACTTAGTTCTCCGTGCTGCAAAGGCAACCGTGCAATCTGATTGGAGAGACCGTATGAATGAGTTGAAGGCTATTTGTAGTGGAGCTCATGATCATTTGATGGCAATCCCTCCAAGTTGTTGGAGCAGGTCTCATTTTGATGCATACAGTAAATGCGATATGATCACAAACAATATCACGGAGTCTTTCAATAGAAGATTACTGGAGGCACGAGAACTTCCAATTATTAGTTTGCTTGATTGGATCCGGACATATCTCATGACACGGTTCGCAGAAAATCGTGTCAAAGCCGATAAGTACCGTGACAAGGGTATTGTGTGTCCGTGACCTCGCAAGCGATTGGACAAAGAAGTTGCAGAATGTCGAAAATGGGAGGCTAGATATGCGGGAAACAACCGGTATGAAGTGTCATTCAATACTCACAAGTTCAAGGTTGATCTCACCGCCAAAACTTGCAGTTGTTATTGGTGGCAACTAAATGGAAACCCGTGCAGGTAAAATTATATATGCTTGCTATCTATATTTCACAATAAATCTGTTTTTTTCCCTCTATTGCTTGAATTCTAAGCATTAATTATGTTACAGACATGCAGCTGCTTGTATTTATGCCAAGAGGGAGGATCCACATGATTATGTGGACAAGTATTTAACATTGCAATCATTTGTTGCGTGTTACTCACCTGTTATTGAGCCAATCAATGGTGAAGCATTGTGGGAGAAAGCTGATGGTGAGCCCATTGAACCTCCCGTATATCACAAGCGTCCTGGGAGGCCAACAAAAAAACGAAAGAAAGGATTGGACGAACAACAATCAGCTGAGACAGAACATGAGAAGCGACAATATCGCACCTTCTTATGCTCTAATTGTGGAAAACAAGGACACAATCGGCGGACTTGCAAGCAACCCACCAGACCTAACAAGCTTCCAATCAAGAGAAAGCAATCATCTTCTACTCAAGAGTCAATTGTTGCAACTCCTCCGGGTAGCAGTCAACCTTGACATTAAAAATTGCAATGGGAAGCATATACACAGCAACCACCCCCTCCACCTTCACAGCAACCACCCAATTCCACTTTACCCTCCCAACAGTCGACAAATCATTTAAGACTATGTATTTGACTATTTTGTACTATGTATTTCGTTACTTGGATTATGGTTACCTTATTGCCTTTACATGGGATTATCACTTCCTAGGTCTATATTTTGGTGAACCAATGCTTAGTCTTTCATATGGATGCCTTCTTATTTTGCAAGTCCTATGTGATGTAACTCTTTTAGCAACATTAGTGGCATGTACAAATGTCCATTATAATTAATTAAGGTTATTATCTTATGTTACATCTTCAGTTCCTCATTATTAATTAGGTTACCTTTACATCTTATTTAATTCATATGTTCTTCTATTCTATTATTTCAATTAACATTATTGCCATCAAAATTACCACCCTTGTTATATAATTGTTGGATCAGTAATTACTTCACCACGTGAATAATTCTTGAGAGAAGACCAAAGATCAGTTCTCGAATATGTATTGAAGAAGACCAGTTCTCAAATACATATTCGAGAAGACCAAAGATCAGTTCTCGAATATGTATTCAAGAAGACCAGTTCTCAAATACATATTCGAGAAGATCATTTCTCTAATATATATTCAAGAATATATTCGAGTAGCTTATCGATAAGTTCATTTATCAAACAGCTTATCGATAAATATATTCTTATTTATTCTCGAATATATTCTTGAATATATTCTTGAATATATATTAGAGAAATGGTCTTCTTTTTCCCATCCTTCTAGCCACAGTCGACGATGATGAGTTCCTGCTTGACCCCATTCCACCTGACTACAGCCTAAGTTGAATCAGATGTTGAAGACGAGATGGAGAGATATGATATTGCAAAAATTGAAAACCCATATCAACAACCTACCAAACACCAGTCATCCTTACCTGCGTTTGCCAAATGTTCGTCGCCTTCAGCGGATCTAGGTCGCGTTTGCTGACTCTTTGTTGCCTTCACGGATCTTTGTTGCCTTCGCCTTCACTGGATCTTGGTTTCCTTTCTCCACTCGTCCAGATTCTATCTAAACTCTTTCCCCTTTGTTTTTTCTTCCACCGTTGTCCCCTACGTTTTGCCTCTGATTCCCCTTTTTTTTTTTTCTTTTTTCGGTCCATCTCTAGCTAACATGACACCAGGATGCCAGCTCAGCGGTTCATTACCAGGTCATGTGGTCCAACTCAGCACATAACGGTGTTAATTCCATATCAGCAGGATTTAACGGTGCCAAGAAGTCAGGGACCAACGGACATAAACGGATATAATTTGAGGGACCCATACCACACGTTTTAAATTTCAGGGATTAAAACCAAATTGGGCTTAAATTTGAGGGACCAAAATTTGTATTAACCCTAAATTCTAATAACAATAAAATTGTTCAAATAATAAGTGGCCAATGGAATGGGGAGCGGCGCAGTCTCCGATTTTCTCAAACACCCCTCATTCCGGATCACAATTCGTAAAGGCATAGACATCATTTCTGGACTTATATACACACTCACGTCACCCCGACAGAATGCTATTGATATTTTTTTTTAATTAAAGGCAATTTTAATAAAAAGACAAAAAGATCCTAAAAAAAATGTCGGCCATTACAAAAAATATTTGAACGAATCCCAAACAATTAGTACATGCTATTGATATTTAAAATAATGGCAGTAAGACTTTTAATTTTGAAAAAATTACGTAGCCGTATTACGTAATTGCCCCCGCGTGACTCGTGGACGAACACAGGTTTTTTGTTTTGTTGGGCCGATGGACCCATCCCTACCCACGAGGAGAGCCGATATTTTGGTCAGGCATATGTGCAAACCATTATCTCCAGCCCAATGAAACATTAACAAGAAAACGAACCACCATGAAGAATTGATTCAGTTTGTAAGGAATTGACTCATGACATATAAAATAATGAGTTCGAATCCCACTGTTAATATGATGACTTTATTAGTAAGTAATTTATAAGTACTTTTTTAAGTTCCTATAAGCGAGAGAAGTTAGTCATTTATAATGTGGCAAACCAAGATTCAAATCCTACTAGAAGTGATATTTACATTTACTACCTAGAGGATGTTTGGATAGAAAAGTTTTAAAAGTGCTTTTACGATATAAAAAATAAATATGTAGATGTATTTATTTTGCTTTATGAAAAAATAATTTTTAAAAGCATTCCTATAAGCTTCCAAACACCTCCTAATAGTGTATCGAATAAGATCCTCCCAAATGAGAAGATATTGATGAGTAGCAAGATAAAATAAAAATATACATACAACCAATGGAGCTTGTATTTTTTTTTTTTTTAACCAGCAATGGAGCTTGTATTTAGCCCCTTATAGTATTGCGTACCAAGATTCAACTAGCAGCCGGGAAAATTATTTTGCAAATACTTATGATTTCATTCTGTAGTTAATTTGGAATGTATCCCCTTTTTTTAAATAACGAGAACAGTAAAATTAAATGATATAATAGTGAAAAATATATAGGTATTAGAAAAATATGAACACCTGCAAAATAATTTTCCCGAACTGAGCAAACGTCTAACAAAATAGAAGGAAATTGAAAATCATTAAATGTTGACTCTATTGTTGTTTATTTATATGTATAGAAAGCTAAATAATAATCTGAATTAGACATTGATCGCGGCACGAACCCATCATCCATTTTCACTTTTAATTCAAATCTCACCCATACTCCCTCTATTATTACGTTTTTGTCTCTTTTGCGTTTAATGTCAGGACTCAGGACTACCGTCTTATATTGAATCAGTGCATTGAACGTAATTTAGATAAATTTGTTATTAATTCGAGATTATTCTATTTTTTATTGATAATTAACCATCAATAAGTAATAATTGTTATTATAATCTGTTAGGATTATTCGTACGTGCACGCGATCCAGAATTGAGCTGCACTATAATACTTAGAAGTCCAACCAATAATCAAAGTGTAGATGGCAAGCTTAGTAGGTAAAGAACGGGAAAAGATAAGGGAAATTATTTCACCAACTTAAAATGGGACACCAATTATGAAGTGGTTAATAGATAGTGGCAAGTATTGTTAATGAGTAATGAATTAATAAAATAACTAAATGTAGGTGAAGAACATGGAAGCCTAATTAATTAGGTGGGGCTTGATTCTTTGTTCTCATCTTCCCACACTTTGACCAGCAGGTCTCAAACAAACATCCAAAACCAGAAATTAAAAAATCACACTTAAAAGAGAAAGAAAGATGAAAAGCAAAAGGAAACAACTTTCCATGGAAATGTAATTTAACGTCCCTTGCATATTACTCTAAATTTACAGTGCATGGATGCAATTATTCCAGATGCTTTGGTCATTGCTTGCTTGTGCGACCCAAATTTCTCCAAATCTTCACTCGTTAGTTAATACATCTCGAAATATCTGAGTTAATCTTTTATTGGGTTTTGAGTGGGTTTCTTATTCTTCACAAGATAAGATCAATCCCTCTGCCACGTTTCTTATCTTCCACCCTTTTTTTTTTTCATATCGCGTTTCATTACATCTAATTTTTCTGCCCAACAGCTTGCCCTACTAATGGAATCAGAAAGTGACATCCCTTTTCATTTTTTTTCCCTCTCTCTCTCTCTTTCCTTCTCCTTTTTCTTTCCCCACTGGGCGAGAAAATTGAATCTCTATATATTTATGCATTTGAAAATAATATGACAAAAAAAGGGATTGTTTATGAAATTGGTATTTACATTTTTTTTCCCGTTTTTCTTGGTCGGATGTTGTTTTATTTAAGCATATTAGGTCATGCAGATGTATAAATTAAAGATGGAAGACGATGAAAAGAAAGAAAGAAAGAAAGATGTGACTTTCAAATGGGAGAGAGAGACAAGAGACAGCAAATCTGAGAACTCCACAATTCACCATAGTGGTCCATTCACTGATTCTTCCACTTTATCAGAAAAATGCACTCTCTTGGCCTCTTATGTTCGTTGTACGCTCCCTCTTCCTCTCTCTCTCTTTTTCCTATTATTATTCTGTCTGTCACCATATATATATATATATATAATTAAACTGCGTGCTCTGCCTCATTAGTCATTACTTCCTTTCACACGTAGATGGTGAGGAGATTTTCTATTTTTACTCCGTTGAGTTATGGTCCTGATTGGAACCCAGAAACTGTCAGGAAAAGTAGAAATTGTTTGCAACTCCAGCTCTTTTTTGGAGCGTACATGTCAGAATAAAAGAGAAGAGAAGATGAGATAAACGGCAACAATTTGGAGTGAATGAATTACTCTCACGGTTATAAATGGGAAAATATATAGATTAAATTTCTTATAATAATTTTATCAAGTTTTTCAATCACATTTTAACATGTATTTTTTTTCATGTAGGTTTACCATTAAATAATTATAAATGTGATGATTATAAACAAATTTGAGCTTGCCTTTAAAAATATTATTACTGTTAGTGACTACATCATGCTTCATTATTTGACCAGAATAAAACAAGCTTCCAAAAGAGATGATTATCAGTCCATTGACGTTGCAAATTGCAAAGTAAAAGAAAAAGCCAGCCAATAATAACCCCAAAAAAAAAAGTAGCCTTCCAACTCTGGCATGTGCTGCCCTTATTCCTATTATAATATTGTGAGATGTCCAGTCCAATGCTTTGAAGGTCATTAGGCTGCTCATACCTCCTCAAGCTTTTATACTTTTCCCAGACTTTACCAAAAAAATCGGGGAGAGAATGAAAACGAGTCCTAAAAATGCATCGCGGAAAGTTGGAAGGCATCCAAAATTCGAATCTCAGCCTAAGATCATAGATATTCCCATCTTTGATGCCAAGCGACAATATCTTTGAATTCACTCTTGCAACAAATTAAATTCTGCCACAAGTCCCGACTTTCACGTATAAAATACATAATTTGTTTCAGCAACTTGGGACGTATGGGTTCATTTCATTTTATTAACACTAGA